ACCCTTCTCTACCAGGACCCCCAGGGTTTGGGACCCCAGACCCCTCTGCCCGGCTCCTCTCCCCTCTCGGGGGCTCCTCCAACGTAGCTGCATCTCAGGGGCTGGGGGAGACCGGGGATGAGCCCTGCTGGGTTTTTGGCTGGGCTTTGCACCTCCAAGCAGCCCCCTGGGGGACAGGGATGGTGATGAGGAGGGTGACATGATGTGTTTTATGGCAAAGGGTGGCTTTTGGGGGACCAACGCTGTCCCTGCGTTACCGCCGTGTGGCACGACAGGGCTCCCTGCTCCTGCCCCGGAGAGGTCTCAGCTCCGTCCACCCATTGCGGTGTCTCTGGGCTTCCCCTGTGGCACGGCACAGCGTGGTGGCACTGGCTTGGTGTCGGCAGAGGGTCCCCCTCACCGCACACTGCCACTGGGCTGGTGCAAGCAGGATGGCTGATCCCAACCTGACATTTCCCACCGAGCACGAGTCCCCCCACGTCCTTTAACTCCCTAAATCCGCCTCCCGCCTGCGCTCCTGCCCTCCTTCCCTTTGGCATTTTCATTAAGTCTCTCCGCTATTTGAGGAAGGGCATCGGTGCCTCCCTGGGAGCCCGGGGAAAGGCTCTCGACCTGCTCTTTGTTTAAACACCTTTGACTTTTTTTAAAGCCCGTTGCAAACAAATACTGCTTGACTCGGTGTGCTGGCTCAGCCCACCCCCTGCATCCCATCCCTCCTCCTGCCCCTCCGCTTGCTCGGCCGAGGGAATTCCCCCGTGTCCCGGTGGGATGTTTGCTTCGGAAAAATCCACACGAGCCTTCGCCTCAGCAGCTGCGGTGAAGATGCTAAAACACCTTCCGCTCCTCCCGTGGTTTTTGGCTGGCAGAGATAGGGAAGGAGGGAGGGAGGGAGTACTGGGGGGCTGTGGGATGCTCGCCGCTCAATTTGCTTTTTAATGGGGCGGGTGATGGGGCTGCCGGCCCTCCCGGCAGGATGTGGCTTGGTGGTCCATTGGGTCCCTGCGGGGAGGGAGTTTGCTGCTATCCAGGCACCGCGCTTGCGGCGAGGGCTGCTGTTTTGTCCCTCCGGCCTTGCAGAGATGCTGCAGTGGCCGTTCCTCCTCCTCCAGGGCTGGAGAATTGGGCTCTGCGGTGCAACGGTCCCCGGCATTGCCGGCCGGTGGGGATCTCTGCCGTGCCGGCACCGTGTGTGCGCGCTGCTGGAGAACCCCCTGGGCGCATCGTCCGATGGACGGCACAAGCCTTGGGGACAGGGAGAGGACAACTTGGGTCACCACGGAGCCCCTGCCAGCCTGGAGGGATGCAGGAGCTCCCTGGGCAGCGGAGGAGACTAAATCTCCCTCAATTTCCAGAGGATTTGGGTGCAGAAATCCTCACCCGCGTTGACAGATGGTCTCCTTGCATCCCACTCGGCGCAGCTGCCTGTCCCCTGCCTCTGCGCTGGTGTTCCCCTGCCCGGCAGAGCCTTTGCTGGGTTAAATGCCCCCATCTCTGAGCAGCCCCCCTGCTTTTTGTCCCCTGGGAGAGGGGGAGCACAGCCCCTGCCCCTCTTCTTGCAGGTGTGTGGGGGGTTGAGAACGGTGGTACCTCTTGGCCAGGTCAGGGTGAGGTGCTCTCTAGCTGCCCCAGGTTGGGTGGTGGGAGCAGATCATCCCATCCAGCTGCTCAGGGCTGGGTCTGAGATGCGCTGTGGTCCAGGCAGCGTGTTTTGGGGGGGGCTGCGGGGATGGAGAAAGCGGCAGAAGAGTGTTTCTGGTGTGTTGGCAATGTCCCCAGTGCTGTTGGATGGGCGGATGGGAGCGAGCAGCAATGGGGCTGGAGCTCTGCTATCTGGGATGCACTAAGGCCCTCCATCCCTCCATCCCTCCATCCCTCCATCCCTCCATCCCTCCATCCCTCCATCCCTCCATCCCTCCATCCCTCCATCCCTCCATCCCTCCATCCCTCTTCAGCAGATGTTGAGCCGCCGGCTCACTCTGCATCCCAGTGACTGGCCACCAGCCTTGTCCTGTCTGGAAGCTCGGGCAAGGAAGGTCTACGGCAACTTCAGGAGCTGACCTGGCTCACGTAGAGCCTGGCAAACATACATCCCCTTGGGCTCCATCTGCCGCACCACCAACCCTCCATCGAGGGTCCTCAAAATTACCTGCTGGATGGGCTGCCTTGATCCTCGCCACCCCCCAAGATCCCTGAGGAGCTCGCTGAGGGTTTAAGGTTTGGGTGCTGGGTGGGGTGGGCTTGAAAAGCATCCCGGGATGGCAGCGAGAATCTCTCGGGATGCAGCGTTGGGATCTTGGGTCCGTCAGGTTATCGCATCCCTTCCAGATGTATCTCGCTGTGACGGACGTGGCTTTTTTACCTGCGTTTTATCTCCTTGTAAAGTGAGAGATGGCCCTACGTCCCAAAATATAATTAATGAACAAGTCGCTGCCTCTTTAAAACATCATGTAATTTCTTCACAAGTGCGGTAGCGGTCGATTTCTAGAAGCCAAGATTAGTATTAATAAAGCAGGA